TATTGCTATTTAACTTATTTGAATTAGAATTATCAGATTGGTAAATATAAATATATATTTGGCCAATTTGGCCAGCCAAAACTTGAAAAAAATTTTGGCCATTTTGGCCGCGGCCAATGGCCAAATGCCAACCCTGCCATAAAGTCCTTCGCTTCGTTCCGGACTAATAATAAATTTCAAAAAAAAAAAAAAAAAAACCTCAATTCAAATTAACGACCTGTTCCTCACGTGCCACTTCCCAGGATCTCCGTGTATTTATTGCTATGATTGGTTAAAAGATTTTTTTTTCACTCACGCCTCTTACTGTAATGCCAAGCATAATAAAAAAAACTATTTTTTAAAAACCTTATTTATAAGTATGTAATTCTTTATTTTATTTTATTTGACCATAATCTTGCAAGTTATTAAAAAAAAATATATATTCAAAGAAATAAAACATGAAGTCATTTTGGTCTTCCTACAGAACTTTACCACCTAAAACACGCGTTTATCTTGGTTTAGGTATGGCTATTTGGTTTAAATTAAAGTCTCGGTAATTTATTAAACAGAATTTTTTCTTCCTTAATATTGATTCAATTATTTTTATACGATTACCTGTTTATGAATATATAAGGTGGAATAACATTAGCTTTAGCGGGTCATTTTGTTAGTGACTGGTTAGAGAACAAAATCCCTGTAGATTCTCAACAAACTATTGACAGTGCCTCATCAAGTCAAATAATCGACACATCCCAAAAGACTTCTTTACGTAACGATAAATTTTAGAATAAATAAAGTCAATAATATTTTTTTTGCATTGACGTATTCTATAAATATGATAATTCTACGCGTTCAGAAATTAATACATATAAATACAAAATCATAAATTTTTTCTCGTCGTTGAAAGATTCGAGGATGAATGCGAAGATGATGTCAAAGGAATTATTTCTTCCTTTTTCTGCAATATGAAATTAAGCAAATTCTTTAAAAGTCCGGATTTGTTTCGTGCAGGAATCAAATCGACATTGTAAGATTTCGTATCTGAAAAAAAAAAAGGTTAATAGAAATATTACAATAATTTGATGAGAAATAAGTAACAAATGACGAACCGAAAGATGGAAGAGCATTGTCATTAGCACTTAAGGAAAGGAAATAGGAAAATGGAATTAACCAAACGCAAATTCCAAAGAACGCAGCTATGTCCACGAAAGCAAAGTAGGCAGACGTAAAATACTGAAACCAAATAAAATGGTCGACCAATACCAATACTGAGAAAAGAAGAAGAAAAGAAGTCATTTATAGAGCAATGCAAATAATATACAAAAAAAATAATCAAGAGAAAAATTTATACCACAACTCGCGATAAAAGGTAAACTTGTCAAACTAATAAACGGGAAGGTTTTTAGGTTCATTGTGTATACGCCATGGCACATTATGGAAAATATGATGCGCCAAAATGGAAACCTATCGAATAACAGTAGAAGAAAATGAATTGCCACAACCACCTAATTATTTTTTTCACATAGAAAAGATTATTAGTATCAATATAATCTCGAATGAAATTGATATTTACCTACCAAAGTTACGTTCTTTATAATCTTTCTAGTCAAAACTGTATATTCTTCGACGAGCTCGGCTAAATGAATCAAATGACGTTATAAAATGAATCAACAACACAATTTTTGACAATTGATAATTACCTAAATAATATAGTCCACATGCTTTGGAGAAATTAATTTAATTAGTGCCGCGTTTATACGCGTCATAAACTTGATCGAAATTTGCAAACAATAAAGTTAGTACCTAAGCTCAAGGTTAAAAATAAAAACGCGAGTAGAGCTGCTCCATATGATAAAACGTGTAATAAAGTCATTTTATTTTATTTTTGAAAATGAGAAATTTTAATCATCCTTTTTTTTTATAAGGATAGAGTTTAATTAAACATCCAATGACATTATGACAGGTCACAGCTTTATATGAAATGCTAAACTTAATTTGGTAAGAGTAATTAGTTGATAAAAAAATTTATTGATGAAAAAATGCTATATATATACCCAAAGACCCTTCCCAAGTACTGACAATTTTATTTGAAAGTCAGATGATCAGATCCACAGTTGCAAATTGTTCATCCCTACTTTTGGTGTCGTGGATCGTCCATTATAAGATTTTAATTAGCGAACTCGACCTCCACGAATTATGAAATAATCCTTTATATTTGTTATATTTGTTGAAATCTTGAAGTCCTAATAAGTAAAAAATAGGATTTGCTTTTCATGTGTTATTCAAGAAAGGAAATTAAATTATTTGCCCCGACCAAAACTTAATAAATAAACTCGTTGAATTTTTAAATCCTTTGTTTATAATTATAAAAGAAAAACCTTTCAATAATAAGCGAGAGAGTTTGAGATCTTGATTTTCTTTTTTAATTTCTATAGAAAAACCTATAAATTCTAGAATATCAAAAGTTATGACGACCTCAAAAGTACCAATAGTTTACCACCCAGGTTATAATATCGTATTCTGGAATTTTGAAAAGGTCAGTAAAAAAAAACTTGAAATAATTAATTTAATCTTAAAAATATTAATCTTTTACAATTGAAATATAGATTCACCCATTTGATACTCAAAAATTTAAAAGGATTCATCGAATTTTATTAACATCAGGCTTATTTAACGTCAATTCATTTTACGAGCCGTCTCCTCCAACTTCAGTTGATATAGCTAATTTACATTCGACACAATATCTTGAATCTTTAAATAGTAATATTCAAATACAAAAAATTTTGGAAGTCCCTTTTTTGGCCGTTTTGCCTCAAGTTTTAGTGAAGAAAAAAGTATTAGATCCGATGTTGTTGCAAACTGGTGGGAGTGTTCTTGCCGCCGAATTGGCATTAGAATATGGATGGGGAATTAATTTGGGTATGATTATATTATTAGGATTATTTCTCGATCGTAGGATTTACTAATTAACCGTATGTACTTTTTTAGGAGGAGGATTTCATCATGCACATTATGATGGCGGTGGTGGTTTTTGTGTTTACGCAGATATTACTTTAATGGTTGAGAAAATATTGTCAAAATATCCGGACCAAGTTTCGCGCTTGATGATCGTGGATCTAGATGCTCATCAGGTAGAACGTATAATTTATTTATTCATTTATTTCTTTAAAGAAGTTGATTTCTTCGCTTACCTTTTTTTTCCTGTCATTGTAGGGAAATGGATATGAACGCGATTTAGCCCATAATAATAAAGTTCACATAGTAGATGCATTTAATGTTCACATATATCCGCAAGATAATGACGCTTTCTCATCAATCACGACGCCAATTCCATTAACTTCACCAGAATTAAAGCGAGATGATAAATATCTTCCTCTTATTCAATCAAATATCTTTCAATCATTTCATAAATTTCATCCTCATTTCATTATATATAATGCGGGAACAGATTGTTTAGGTGGAGACCCTCTTGGTGCAATGGATCTATCAGCTGAAGCTATACTGAAAAGGGATGAACTTGTATTTCAAATGGCTCTAGATCATGGGGTTCCGATTGTCATGGTATTAAGTGGAGGTTATCAAAAGAAAAACGCAGAAATTATTGCCGAGAGTATCCTAAATTTAATTAATAAGTTTGGTCTTTTGGAGGGACGTAGAAAGTCTGTTATGAATGCTCATTAGATTGTTTTTAATTTTTCACAATGTAATATTATTGATCAAAAATCATTTAGTAATGTTTTATTTTATTTTATTTTATTGTAATATATGAACGTTTGATCTTGTGTTATCCGCAGTAAGATCAAAGAAAATCGCAGATCATTACCTTAATTTTTTTAGATGTTTTTATGGAGTTTTTCCGGAACTTATCGCTATACAACCTCTCATTTTATAAATTTTATAGCTTTTCTTTTATTTTCTTTTCTTTATCCATTATTCACATAGCTCTTTTGTTTTTGTTCGCTACAATCGCCAAACAAACATATCATTCATGTATAAATTATGCATACTCCTGCGTTATCAAGAATATCGCAGATCTTCTTTAAATTTTTTAGATGTTTTTTACAATAAAAATAAATGATGATCAGCGCGTAGTTTTTCCGGATTTATATATAAAGGAAATTCCATTTAACTTTTTTTTTATTTTTTTTTTTTTTCACAAAAAAAAATTTCCAAACATGAACCCAGTAATACCAATTATTAAACAAAATGTAAAGCGCTTAATGTTCATGTTTCCAGCGCATGCTTTTGTTTTTATATTATCATGGCTTGGTACCGGACCTAGTTCTATCTCACTTTTACCGTTTATAAATTTACCAATAATATATATATTAGTTCGAAAAAGTCCTACATTCATAAATATACCTTTATTTACAGCACTTACTTTAGGTGCGGCCCTATCTCACAATGAACCCTCCACTTCCCCAATGGAAAGCTACTTTGATGACTTTTCGATATTAATAATTGTAGGAATATCAATTTCAATCATTACTTTAGCACCAATGATCATTACCAAATTCACGATGATAAAAGTTAATGAAAAATTCGAAAATTTTACTCATAATCTTAATTCGAGAATGATTTTTCCAATCATCTGGACTGTAATGTGGTCGTTATTTCGACGTTATTCACCGTTAGGTTCATGGGGAGATTGGACTTATACTATCTATAATTCAGGACTCGCAGGTGATCCTCTAATGCAACTAACATCATTTGGCGGGCTTAGTGCTATAAATTTTATATTAGCATTATGGACACAAATTATCGCGGATTTTTTTATTTTAAATCATAGAATAAATAGAGCGACACGAACTGTAATAATTAATGAGGAGACACCCTTACTTTCTGAGATAGAACAACCTCAACCACCAAATAATATCAAGGTTTATAAAGAAGATTTATCAGTTAATTATTATTTGCGTGTTATAATAATTGTGGCGGTTTTATCTTGTTTTTTCATAGGTGGAGAAAGGGTAAAAAATATAGAGAATAATGTAAATCCTATACCATATGAAAGAGTCGGTTGTATATTACCAAGCCATAATACTAGTGCCCACGAATTGTTACAGAAAACCTCGACCATCTCATCTAATCTGCAAGCAAAGATTGTTTTATGGAGTGAGTCTGCATTGGCTTTAAGAAATGATGATGAACTTAATGAATTATTAGAAGGAGCTTTTAGCATTACATCGAAATATAAATTTTATTTGGGATTAACATATACAATCCCAACCGGAGAAAATGGACATAAAAAAAAAAATATGTTAAGGTTTGTCGGGCCGAACAAACAAACATTATTTGAGTACCAAAAAACTCATCCTGTTCCTTGGGTTGAATCCTATTCCACAGAAAGTGGTCCGGGTAAATTAAAAGTAATCGACGCAGAAATAGAAACAAAAAGTAAAAAAGAATTACATGAAATGAAAATTAGTGGAGCTATATGTCTAGATATGGATTTCCCTGAGTTACTTGGACAAGCTGCAGGCGCAAATTTGGTTTTGTCTCCGGCACAAACCTGGTCGGCACAAGTTGGACTACAACATCTAAGAATGTCGTCAGTTCGGGCGATAGAAAACGGATATTGGATTTTAAGATGCGATGGAGGCGGTGCCTCAGGCCTTATAGGTAATAACTGAGTTTTGTATAACATTTTTATCAATTTTTATTTCTAAATTAAATTTAAATCTTTTTAATTTTTATAGATCCTTATGGACGCGTTCGGCACATGCAAATAACTTCGAGCGATCATGTTAGCATATTCGCGTGGGATATGCCTTTCGAAGATAAAATCGATACGTACTATTCTCATTATGGGGAATCTACGGTGTGGGGAGTTCTAATGATTTTAGGATTGTTAGAATTATCTTGGTACTTTGCTTGGAAAGTGGCCGAAGAAGATATGGCTACCTTAACAGATTCGACAAAAGAATTTCTTCTTAAAAGACAAGAATGGGCAGAGGAAAAGTATGACGAAATTTTTAATCAAGAAGAATTTCAGTCAAGCGTAAATTCAATTTTAATTTGATTGAATTAATTTCTTTTTTTTTGTATTAAATTTTTTATGTAATGTATTATATTTTATACAATAAATTTTTCATTTTTAAAGAGAACCAAAACTTTTTTTAAAAGCGTATCTTGACAATATATCGATAATATCATTTCTTTCATGACAACAGCTGACTAGATATTATAAATGCATTAATAACAGGAGCTGGGTTGTAATCAAGTGACCATTTATCGAAAAAATATGAAAAATTACTTTCACAAATCGTAAATTTATTTTCAACAAATATATCGTGTGTATATATATTTATTTGTCTAAGATCTATATGTTGCTGATCATTCGAATAATTGAATCGATCCGCGGATAACGATCACTTTTTTTTAATCAGAAAAAAAAAAATTTTTTTTTAATTTTTTTTTTTTTAAAAAAAATGTATGTTCATAGGTGTCGTTTCGTTGAATATATGCCAGCAGCTATTAATGCTCTTGCATTTACACCAAGTACTACTAAACCGTTGATCGCATGTGGTCGAGCTAATGGGGATATCGAAATATGGAATCCACTTAACTTGCACCTGGAAAAGGTACTTGGCTGCATTTCTATCTAATGACCATTACTTGATATAAACTTAAATCAATTTTTATTATTATTATTATTATACAACAGAGAATATTAGGTGAACTAAATACTTCCGTGGAAGCAATTACATGGGTACATAAAATAACTTTAACGGAAACGGATAAGATAACCTATAATACACAAGCTAAACAAGATAAAGCTTTAAAAGAGTTAACCAGTAAACCACCAAGATTATTTTCTGGTAGTGCTAATGGTTTGATAACGGAATGGGACACGATAAAATTAAGTTCTAAGGTAATATTTTTATATATTTATATATATATGTATGTACGAACGTTGAATTTTTGAAAACATTATGCATTTTCATTGGAATTAATTTTTTTGTTATTAGAAATTCATTGATTCACATGGGGGAGCTATTTGGTGTATGGCTGTTAATCACGCGAATACATTAATTGCTGTTGGATGTGATGATGGAGGTATACGGATATTTGAGATTATCGATGATGGACTATCTTTAATTAATAGTTATGATAGAAAGCAAGCAAAAGTAACGTCTTTAGCTTGGGATAAGGAAGACAAACATATTGTTTTTGGGACTTCTGATAGTAATATAATAAAATGGAATGTTGAACAAGGTAGTAGCTTTGAGGGAAATGAACAAACAATAAATGTGACAATTTGTATTAACCCTTTTTTTTAAAAAAAAAAAATAAGGTCGAGTAATACATAGGATAATCGTAGAAAAAAAATTACAGAAAGAAACTATTATATGGGCAATTCAAGTGCTCAAGTAAGATTTCACTTTACGTAATAACAAATTATTGTATTCAAAATATGTAAATTTCTTTTCCATTTTTTATAGGGATGGCACTATAGTAAGTGGTGACTCACTCGGTCACGTGTGTTTTTGGGAAGGAACATTTGGGACTATGAAACAAAAACTTGGAGCTCATGACGCTGATGTTTTGTGTTTGGCTTCGAATCTTGTAACTATCTTTAATGGCAATATCTATTTACTTTATTCATTAAAGATCTAGTATTTAATTTTTAATTTTTTATTTTCAAAGAATGGTACAGCGATTTATTCTTCTGGGATAGATCGTAAATGTTTTGTATATCGGATTGTGTCTCAACCAAAATCATATAGTAAAGATAATTCAGTACCAAATGAAAAACATTGGGTAAAAGTGGGTTATAGTCGTCATCATATGCATGATGTGAAAGCTCTTGCGATATGTGAAGGACGAGATGTAAATTCTTTAATTTCTGGTGGTAAGTAATTTACGGAATCCTGAATTTTTTTTTTAAAAAACGAAACATGATGAATTTTCTAAGTTAACAAGAACGAATTGCTTTGTATAAAGGTATTGATACAACTATTGTTGTCGCGCCAATTTTAAATTTTCCTAAAAATAAATATCATAGGTTACCTTTTGTTCCATTGAAACTTATGATCAGTATGTCCAAATCGAAACAATTAATTATGTTCTATTGTAATAATCAAATAAAAATTTGGAGGTTGGGGAAAGGTAAGAAGAATCAATTTAAATTCTTTCTCTAGAAGGAATCAAATTAATGTTTTTTATATTTTATTAATAGCAAAGTTACCAAGGTTGTATCAATTCGAACAAAAGGTTCCTCGTTTGGAGTTAGTAGAACCTCAACAAGCTATTTTAGAAATAACATTAAAGGTCTTTTATTTCTTACATCTATCGTTTTAATGAACCGTTTGATTAATAGAGTATTAATATCTCTATCTCACTTTTAGGGCAATCATCAATTGATGGTAGGATCGATATCCGAAAACGGGGAATGGATAGCAGTTTCTGACATTGAACGTATCAAATTATTCAAAGTTCTTGAAGACGCAAGTATAATATTATATAATAATTAATAAGCTTTTTTTTTTTAAAAAAAAAAATTAAAATTAAACAATTAATCCATTTACATCAGGTTAATGACCCAGGTCATTTAAGGGTACGTAAAATAAAAGATTTTCCACAAGTAACTATAGACGGACGAAACGTTGGAGCTAATTTGTTAGGGTTTACTCCAGACGGAAGTAAACTTGTAGTAGCTTTTATGAATTCAGAGATAGTAATATTTGGACTTGATATTGAAGAAGGAGGTGACGTTGATGTCACAGTTTTAGAACGATTTGATGAATATTCACAAAATCCCGACTGTGAACCATTGACGACCTTGACTATAAGTGATGATGGTAAATGGTTAGCAACCGGGGACCTTTTGAATCGGATTAGTGTGTACAATTTGGAAACTTTTGAGGTATGTGAACTTTATCATTTAAATATTTGGTTTAAATATAATATAATTAAATCAATAATCATAAATTTTTTGTCTAAATTATAATAGCATCATATGAATATCGATAAATTTTCTTCAATTCACACATCATTAACTTTTCATCCATATAAACCGATACTTGTGATAACTTTAACGTCAAATCAATTTTACCTTTTTGATTTGCAAAGAAAGAAATTAACTGAATGGTCACAACAATATTCAGAAGTGCTTCCACGAGATTTTCTTAACCTTAAAGATAAGGTTATGGGATGTTCATTTAATCCTTCTTCTGATAGTATGATCATATGGGGAGCAAATTATTTATGCTTAGTAGATTTTAATAAATGTAAAATAGAAGATATCGAAGAATTAATTTGTATTAGGTGTTCAGGATGGCAATCTAAACCAAAATTTTTGAATAAACCTATGCAATTGGAGCAATCAGACGAAAGACGACAAGAGGAGAAAATAGATGCGAATACGATAAATTTTCAATTAGTTACTAGGTATCAAACATTAATGTATTTAAATTTTATAGAACATAATCAATTAGTTATAGTAGAAAGATCCTTTACTTCTATTTTAGAAAATTTACCACCATCATTTTATAAAGCAAAATATGGTACATAAGAAATATATAAAAATGCAAAAAAATCACCATTTAAAATAATTTTTAATAAAAATTTCGTCTTCAATAAAAGTTGTGTTATGGCTCAAATACTTTAGTTTTGGGTGGCCCATCTGCACAATGGGTTGTACCCGAAGGAAAGCTTGAAATGATTACTTTATTATTTTATTTTTTGTTATTAATTTTATTTTTTTAAGAAGGATTATTAATAAACGAGCAATCATCATACTATATACCACAACAAAAATAATTTTATTTGAAGGAGGAATAATGACATTCTCAATATGATACATGATAATTTGTGCCAACCTAAATTTCGGGAAATTTTTTATTAGACCGAATTTTTGGGCTTTAGATTTATTTGTATCCTAATTTGGGAAGTTGTAGTATAAAAAAAAGCTTGGCCTTTTTCGAAGATTGAATTTGATTGGCTCAAAAAATTTTGAATTTATCGCTGTGGTTTTTTTTTTTATTAAACGAAACGATACACAACTTCTTGTGTTTATTCAATCTTTAAAAGTGGGGAATATTGTTTAAAATTGTCAATTACAATGAGTTAAATGCAGGGTTTTTTTTTGTTCTTGTGTAATTTGTAATTTATAATTAAAAAAAAATGATAAATTTTTTTTTTCCTCCAACTTTTTTCTCTTTCTCGTTAAATAAAATTTAAGTGGCCGAAAAATTCTATCACCACTTTACAAATAAATAATAACTTATCGATGTGTAGAATTATAGGAGATTATAAATAATCATAATTCTTTTTACTCCCCGAAAATTCCAATTCTAAATTTCATAGAACAAAAAAAAAGGGAGGATGTCTTTTTCAAAGAAACACACACCAAAATCTTCGCAGGGGAGCATTTCAAGCGAAGGTGATATATTTTTCGAAGCCATAACAGAAGTTATTAATGAAGTTGAAGAATTAACTTTCAACAACGATAACAATGACGGTGGTGGTGACTGTAGCAACATTAGCAGCAACATAAATAGCAATAGAAACAGCAACAGAAATAGCAACGTCAGTAGCAACAACAACATTTACAACATCAACAACAAGAACAGTAATAATTATTTTCATGCATTAAAAAACAAAAATAGTGAAATATGGCAATATTATAAGAATAATAGTAGCAGTAAAATGCTTCATCATTATCCATCATCGTCAATAGATTCAACGTTTTCAACAGCTCAAAAGACGTCATCGGTCTATATGACACCACAAAGTTCAACGAGTAATTTATTGATTAATGCAATGAAACAGACTGTAATTTATCAAAGTAATAATCAATCGGAGATCGATCTACTCACTACTTCTACCACCAATACACCATTTTATACTACTCCTTCTACCCCTAATAGACGCACAATGGATTTTAATGATATTAATAATGATGATCGTGATGATCGTGATTATAATAATGATGATAAAAGCGATATTAATGAGAATATCGATAATAATGATAAAATCGATCTTAAAAAAAATAGCGAAGATAATGATTATAATAATAGTAAGAATAGAAATGGTGATGACGACGACAATAACAAAAACAGCAAAATTAATAATGGCAGTTTAAATATTAATAAAAATAATAATTTGAATTCAAATTTTGAAAGTTCATCAACCATTGTGGCGGCTAAAATAAGAGAATTCGAATCATTAATTCAAAAAATTTCTCCATCCAATTTAAATACTATAATAGATACTGATATTGAGAAGGTAGGATCATCGTCATCACAGAAAAAATATAATCATACCGTTGAACCTTCTTCAGGATCAAATACATATGTGGCTGATTCTTATGATCATATTGAATTAGAAAGTAATACAAATCATTCGAATCACGTAAAGAAAGATGATGATGAATGTCGAGATGAATACGAAAATAAGTTTTCAAGAAAAGATATTACGCAGTTCAAATCCTCCGATAGTAGCAATAAAAAAAAATTCACAAATGATGAATCATCGGTGAACATTGATCTCAATACCGAAAAAAGGGCCATAAATAACAATGTAAAAAATGATTTTAATAAATCATACCATAATGGAGATCATTCTTCTAAAGAGATTATTATTGTAGAAGATGATGATAATATGATAAAAAATTCAAAAAGAAATTCGAAATTATCATTTATAATAACAAGGGATGATAGTGATATTCTTACTTCAAAGAGTGAAAGTATAACAGAAATGGATAATGTGGATTCTTTAATATCACAAAAGAATATATCGATAACAAAGGAGATCATTACAGAATTTTCTTCAATTGCTTCTTTTAAAGAAGATTTTAGAGAATCTATTAAGATAGAAAGGAAAAGTAAAATTATACAACTTAAAAAAAAAGATAAGATTCTTTGGTTAATTGGAAGTTGTTTAATTTTTTTCATCATTATACTTGATATTAATTTGGTTGCAAATCAATTACCTAAAATTATACAAGAATTTAAAGCAGGTGAAAATATCTTATGGATAATAACTAGTTATAATTTAGCAAATGTAAGTTGATTATATTTTTAATTGTTATCTTATTAATCTTTATAATCTTAAATTTTTTTTTTTCTTTAAAAAAAATAAAGACAATATTACAACCATTATGTAAACAATTATCAAATATATTTAAAAAAAAATTGATATTTTTAATATCAATTTTAATATTTGGTATAAGTTCAATATTATGTGGTTTAGCACAAAATATTCAATGGTTTATTATAAGTAGAACATTAATGGGATTAGGAAGTAGTTTAACAACATCTATGATATTTATTATTTTATCAGAAGTTGTATCAATCAAACAAAAAAAAGTTTATAATAATATTATAAATGGAATATTTGCTTTAGCATTTGTATCTGGATCAATAATAGGTGGATTATTTGTAGATTATATTTCATGGAGATGGTCATTTTATATTAATGGTTTATTATCAATAATAAGTATAATAATATTATCAATTTCATTGAAAAATGTCAACAAATCTTCTGAAAATACTTTAATAAAATTAAAAAAGATAGATTGGTTAGGAATTATTTTATTAATAATAGGCTTATTATTAATACTTTTTGGATTAAATTATGGTGGAAATAAACTTCTTTGGAATAATATAACAATTTTTATAATATTTGGTATTGGATTTATTATAATAATGTCATTTGGATTATTTGAAAAAAATTTTGTCAAAGAACCTTTTATACCAACATTTATGTTTGAAAATTCTTCAATTCGAGCTATATTTGGATGTTTTTATTTTATAGGATGGATACAAGTAGTTATAACTTATTATATTCCATTTTATTTTCAATACGTTCATTTGTTAACTGCCACAAAATCTGGTATATTACTTTTATCTTTAATGTTAAGTATTATAATATTTTCAATTATAAGCAAAATATTAATAATTAAAATGAAACAATATAGATCAATAATATTTATGGGATCAATCTTATTAATAATAGGTAGTTTATTATTATCAACATTTAATTTAACTACTGGATTATTATTACATATTATATCATTAATAATTATTGGATGTGGTATTGGATATCAATTCATTTTATTAAAACCTACTTTATATCTTGTAAAGAAAAGTGAAAAATCTATTATTATTGGATTATGTAATTTTTTTAAAGGTTGTGGATCAATATTTGGTATATCAATTTCAACAGCTTTATTTAATAATAATTTATTATCAGATATGAAAACCATACAAAATTATCCTATAAAAGGTAATTCAATTAATAATGTTTTATTAATCTCAAATATTCAACAATTAGATGATGAACAAAAAAAAATTATATTAATTAGTATTAATAATGCAATTATAACAAATTATAAACTTTGTATATTTATATCTGTAGTAAGTTTAATTTTCGCTTCCTTTATAAAACATTATCAATTAAAAACAAAGAATTTAGTTATAGATGATAATAATAATAGTAATAAAATATTAAATGAAAAGATATAAATAATCTTTAACAACGTGGATAAAATTAGATAAAATATTTTTTTATTATTATTATTATTATTTTTTTATTTATTTTATTTTTATATTTTTTTTTAAAAAAAGGGGGTGTATTATTTAATAAACGAAAAACAAAAAAAATTAAAATTGTATATTTACTGTAATAATCCTAAATATGTTGCAATGTCATTTATTTTATTTATATGTAATTCAATTACGAAATTCCTTTTTACGATTGTTGTGAAAAAAAACCATAATTTGCATCCCCTTACATAACATAATGATTTACACGTCTTTTACTACAAAGTTTTAAGTATCATGCGTTTGATTGGTGTCTACCATATCTTCCCACCTATCCTATTCAACATTAGATAATCCATTACCCGAATTAACTGAACCCGAATCACTTAATCTCGAAACATTAATACAGTTATTTTTTCTACTTTGCCTCACAAAATCAAAAAAGGTGCGATCATTACGAAAATGGTTACCAACCAAAACAAATTCTCTAGCTCTTTCAGCTAATTCACCCATAGTACCAAAAATAGGTTCGCTATTACTTACACAAGCACTTAATATTTTATAACATTGAAGTTCCCACCATGAATTAACCACCTTTCTTTGTGTATGAATTAAATATTGCCTAAACCATTCTCCTCTATTTTTTAATAACTCACCAATTTTAACTCTTTGTTGATTATCAAAATGTCTGCAAAAAAAAAAAAAATAAAAATGGGTTAATGTATCATTAATAACGAATAAAATTTCACTTAATATACTTAACTCTAACCATATAAAACTTTGTAATGTTTTAAATAAATAGTTAGTATTATCGTCTCCATATTCAATACGTTGAAACAGTAATTCACATATATTATAATATGCATCTGCTAAAATCTCTCTTTCTTCCTCACTCGTTCTTTCTATTTATTTTATTAAATTGAGTTCATGAATAAAAAAGTTACTTAAACAAGAAAGATCAACATCATTACCTACTTATTACTTGTGTATAATGTTCGATTAATGGATTAAACACAATTTCAGGTGGACTAACTGGATCAATCCGATGATATGTTTTTCCTACTTCAACCCATTTCGAATCAAAGCTTTTATAAGTGCGCAAGACTTCAAACAAAAGTCTTATATAATTATCATTAAATGAATGAGATTTAACCATTTTTTTTTTTTAAAAAAAAGAGTACAAGCTTTTCGAATGTTAACTTTTTGATATACCTGTGTCCCGTCAAGACTGATGGATTTTTATCGCAGAAATTTTGCATGACTGTTATAGCTTCCTCGATTTCTTCATTATGCAAAAGTAACTATTAATAAAAGGTACGTTAACTATAATTAAGCACTTCAATTGTGTAAAAGCACGTTGTTTACTAATTACCTTAACACAATACATTAAAAACATATCATTCGACATATCCAGATCCAGAGATCTTTTAAAATTGCTCAAACTCATTTCATAATAACGTTTTTGTCGATCCATAAATTGTTCATCTAATTCAAAATTCAAATTAAAAAAAAAATTATTTTCCCAATCGAAATTCTAATTATTGACTTACCAATATCAGGAATTTCTATTTCTTCATTTCTATTTCGTTTTAGTTTTTCTCGTGGTGGTATATACTTTTTTGAAGCATTTTTACGTTTTGGTGGCTTATAGATTTTATGTTTAGATTCATTTTCTTTAATCATAATGTTTAATTGCTCCCACAATGAATATGCAAGTAATCCTGTATATCCATGCAGAACTGGATTGTTACAATATGGTTCCATTGGTAAATACCTATATTAAAATTTTTTGATCGAGATTATTAAAAAAAGTGTTACGAAGAAACCTATTAAGAGAAGTTGTCAAAGTTGAATACGTTTCGGCAGTAGCGAGAGCATCAGTTGCATTTCCATATTTCATTTGATAAAAAACTAATTCCAATATAATTCTTTGTTTATCCAATATTATTTTTGAACTCTAGCAAGAATTTAAAAGAAGATAAGTTTGCAATGGATTGATTAACAAATAGATCAAGTTTAAAATTATATAATTAACTTACCAAAGTATGATTTTTTAATAACAATATATTAAAGAATTCAATAAAAGCTGTTGATGTAGGATCTAAAGTGAATAACACCTCAATGGCCGGCTTTTATTAAATATATATACAAATAATAATATTATTATAAAAACTCCATTTTTCAAAATTCAATTAATAAATTTTTTTTTAGAAAAAAAAAATCTGCTAATAAAAACCTGCCAAATTCTAGATAGATCACAATCGGGGCATTGTAATAAAACTTCAAGTATTTCACTAGCACGACAATAATTATGTTCATAAAGAGATTTTTGTAATAATTCATATAAATTAGTTAAATGGAAATTACGAAGTCCTACTACTACTCTCACTTTCTTCCAATTTCCTTCAATTTTTTCAAATAGAGAAATTTCTGCCATATTTTTTTTATTTTTGTTTGTTTGTTTGAAGCACCCGAGACTTATATATGACCGGAAAAGATTCTAATTGGCTGAAAAATTGTCTTCTCCCCAACGTGACCTTAGGATTTCCTAAACAAAAAAATTTTCAAAAATGAAAATAGCGGTGGTGTGACGTAATTACAACAGACAAGCCACTTTTTCATTTTTACTATGGACTTAAAAATTTTGTCATCTCGATACTGGGTTCCTGTTTCCTAGCTGATTTTTTTTGTCAGACCTTTAAGCAAGACGAAATCTCAACTTTTAAATATGACACTTCTTACAATGGATTTTATCTATTGAAAAATGGTCAAATTACCTTGAATTGTAATTACTTGGAACTCTTTCACTAAAGACTATCTATCTGAATTGGCCTCGATGTGCCTTTAAAATCATTATAAGTAATTTTGATGTTTCGTTGATTATCTTTTATAAAGGGCTAGAACATATTGAATTAATAAAACGCGTAAAAATGTTATGTCCGATGATAAGAAGTCAATAATTTTAACGTTTATTTCACAGAGAATGAAAATTCCTGTTCTAGCTCTATTTAAATAATTTGAGTGATATTACTTTACAAAATCGTTATTTCATATGTAGTACTTAACAGGTAGCCGGATTATTTTCTGAGGATTATTGTAAGGTACCGGCAAATCAATCCGGGTCGCACATGATTGATCGCGGTTTTTGTCGCGAATAAAATGCATGATTAATTACTAAATAATGATATAAAGGTTAGTTTCGCGAACTTGTATGACATAAAACTTTTTTTGATCTTTATCCCAACAAAGAAAAAAAATCATCTAAAATGAACGTAGGTAATATAATTTCTCTCGGTTGCATTCAAAGTCTTCTCGGTGAAAATGAAACTGCCAAGCCAAACAAGCCAGTGCTCCAACTAGTGAGAGTTATCCCAGGCAGCGGTGAGCAAGGTGGTTCTACCAGAATTAAGTAAGTTTTTAGTATGTTAGGATATACTTGTTATCGCGTGTTAATAAAAACGTCCTCGTTTCTATATCTTGTAACTTCGAGCGTTTAAACGCGTCTGTATCAATTAGAGCTTTGTCATAATATATTTATATTATATATATCTCTTTTTTAAATTACAAAATTATAGGATTGGACTTTCTGACGGGGTTGAAATTATTCATGGTATTTGTCAAAAGTAAATATCAACAATTTCGATTATTCTCTAATTTTCCTTTTTCTCCAGGCCTTATCCCGGATCATTTAATCAAGGCCGTATGTAAGGGAAAAATGCTGGATAGGGGTATGATAATCAAATTGACCAATTATACCGTTAGTAATTCTGGACCTGTCCAGGCCGGCCGTACATCAAAGTAAAGTTTTTTTCCTATATTTGATCATTTTGATAATTTAGCTCAATTCAATTAACCATTTAAATTTCAATTGCTTTAGGTTCTTGGTTATTATCGGGTTTGAAATGGTTAAAGATGTACCTTTGGAGTTATATGGTCTTGATTTCGATAGGTTAAAACAACGCCAAGATTCGGTAGTTTTAAATCGTGATAGGTAGAAATTAAAATAATAAATTAATTTTATGAATTAATTAATACCATTTTTTTTTTATTCTGATTACTTATTTAAATGTAATCAACTTTAGTACGTCGCAAAGGAATCCAAATAACATTTTGGATAGACAACGCCAAGAATCGTTGCCTTTAAACCGCGAAAGGTAAAAAACACATCATTTTTATGAATTTGCATCAATTTTTTTTGTTCCGACAACTCATTTAAATTTAATCTATTATAGTATCTCACAAAGAATTCCAAATAACAATTTGGTTAGACCACGCCAAGATTTGTTATCTTTAACCCGTGATAGGTAAGGATACATCATTTTGCGAACCTTTATTTTTAATTCTTATAACTCATTAAACATGAACGACTTCTAGTATCCCGCAAAGAAATTCAACAAACAATTTGGATAATCAATCTTTAAACCTTAATAGGTATAAATTAAATATTTATCTACTATAATTTTAATTTTTTATTCTTATAACTTACTTTTAAATGTAATCAAATTCTAGCACCCCTCAAAGAAATTCAAATAACAATTCTGATGAAGGAATTTGTACTATTGATAATATAAGCCCATATCATAATAAGTATGAATCTTCATGATATTTTGTTTGAGAAATAAATTTTGGTGATTTATAATTTTTTTTTTTTTAAAAAAAAGATGGAAACTCAAGGCAATGGTTGTTCAAAAATCGGACCTTAGAACTTGGACGAATGCGCGTGGAAGTGGCAAGTTATTTAATGTAACTTTAATGGATAATAGTGTAAGTATTTCGTTTGCAAATCGTAAATGATGAAAGAATTATTAATTATACTTACATTTTAACACAATAGGGAGAAATTAGGGCCACTGCTTTTAATCAACAAGCGGAAGAATATGCGAATTTTTTGCAATTGAATAAGGTACGTTTGAGATCATTTGTGTTAGTTAAATTTACAATCATTTGTCATAAGTCAACCATTTCTTGTAAATTAGGTATATTACATTTCTAAAGGAAAAGTCAATATAGCTAAAAAGCAGTTCTCAAACGTTCAAAATGACTATGAAATCACTATTGAAGCTAGTACAATTATCGAACCGGTATTTATCTGTTAGATTCAATAAAATATGATGGTTCTATTTTTTAGTAAAGAGTTACTAATATCGGTTTCCTTTAAGGTTGATGATTTAACTGTGCCTATCAAAATAAATATCGACCCTATTAAGATTTCTGATTTGAATGACTATGAGAAAGATCAGACAGTCGGTTAGTAACATTTATTAGTTGTGGTTAATTATATAGTTTGTTTAGTTCATTAATACCTTTTTAAAATAGATATTGTGGCTGCCATCAAAGAAATTGCTGAGACAGCCCAGATAACAACAAAAAACCAGAAAATGGTAAATGAATTACTATTCTATTTACATCTTTTTTTAATATATAATATTTCATTAACCTTCCTAATCATATAGATAGACAAAAGGGATATTATTATAGTAGATGACAGTGGTTATGAGATTAAATTAACTACTTGGGGACAACAAGTTAATGAACTTAGAGATGTAGAACCGGGTACTGTTATTATCTGTAAAAATGCACGTGTTGGCGACTTTCAAGGTCAATTTTAATTCTAGAATATTGAATGTTTTTATTAAGTTATTTAAATAGTACTAAAATTCCTTTCTTTTTATTAGGGAAAAATCTTTCTATGTATGGTATCAGTAGACTGTTAATTGATCCTGATATACCCCAGACTTATCCTCTACGTGAATGGTAAATTATTGATAATAATAATTATATTTACAATTCATTTATAATATATTGATATAAATGTCTTCTTTTTTTCAGGGTAAAAAATGGGGGATTAGAAAAAGAGACAAATGTCTTTTCAAGTGGTTTTTATCCTGGATCTTCAAATTTTCGAAACAACCCTGAAAAGACAATTGCACAGATTGTTAAAGAGAACATTGGACATAATAGCGAAAAGGTATATTACTTACTTATTTCCAAGTTAAAAAAGATATCTCAATTTTTAATCTGTTATTTAATTATATAGGGTGAATATTTCGTTACAAGAGGAACAATTGTATTTATCAAAAAAGAAAGTATGTTCTATGCTGCATGTCCCACCGATGGCTGTAATAAAAAAGTTATTGAAGATGGAGAAAATTCATATCGGTGCGAGAAATGTTCGCGATCATTTGATCACGTCAAATACAGGTAATAATATATTAGACATTGTTATTTTTCGCGTTTTATAAAATTTTGCTCAAAATTAATTATTCTCGCTATAGATACATATTCAGTATAAATGTGTCTGATCATACTGATGGTATGTGGTTTCAATGTTTCAATGAGACAGGAAGCATAATCATGGGTAAAGACGCCGACGAATTAAATAATATAAAGGTAATAATTTATTTGAATTGTATTATTAGTTCAAATAAATATTTTATAATTAAAACTTTACATTATATATAGGAAAATGATGAAGCTTTTTTTGAAGATTGGATTGATGCTCGATTTTTCAAAACATATATATTCAAATGCCGTGCAAAAATGGAGAATTATCAGGTAATGTTTGTTGATATTTAGCTATTTATTTTATTGAAGATAATTTTGAAGAATTAAATGAAATATATCTCTTATACAGGAAAAAAATATAATTAAATATCATATTACGGAGGTTATTCCTATAGATTTTGTCGAACATGGAAAAGCCTTGTTGAATAACATCAATGAATTGGAAAACTAGTTTAAGTGTTAACCTAATAATATTATCTTAATACCTTCTGCTATTCGATTTACCAGATATTTTTTTTTAATGTAAAAACATTTAAAGAGCTTCACATTGATCTTTAGTAATAATAATAATAAAATTTCAATATTATATGTAAAAAGGACCGTATTAAATAATATATTCACGTGATTCAAATGATTAACCATAAAATTTTTTTGTCGTCTTTTGTTGCTCTGAAACCGAACATAATTATCTTATCATATGACGTATTTAACTCACGCACAACCTATAGAATCCAATGAATTTATTCCAATTAATGAAAATAACGATGATAATTTGATTAATCAAAGTATTTCTAATGAAGGGGTGAATAGCGATAGTGAAGAAAACTTTGAAGAACCATTTGGATATGAAGCTTTATCACAAGATGATGATGACATTCAAGAGAACTATGAAGTTTATGATTCTTCTCAACAGGTAATATTTTATTTAACTTTCAGCAAAATCCTTTCATAAAAAATTTTTTTTAATTTATTTAATTAATAGGAAGATAATTTACAACCAAAAATATTACAAATTCATACAACTGAACAAGAAAAAATTCCCGAAGGTAAAAAAACTTCGATTATTCATTTTTTATTCGATTTTATTTTATTTTATTTTTTTAATAATAATTTTTCATTATAGATGATTTAGCTGTAATTAATTCAATTATGAAAAATATTAAATTGCCTGAATCTGCTATACCTGGTAAGATAAATATATTATTGTGTTGTTTTATTTAAAATTAAATATTTATTATATTAATTATACATTTAAGAATGGGCAAAAAGTATACCTGAAGAAGCTTGGTTACCTACTATAAAGTCAAATAATAATACATAGAATAGTTAAATTATCAAGTCTTTTAAAGTTATATTTAATTTAATATATTAAGTAAATAAAAATAAAGTAAAAAACCAAAGAAAATTATCTTATAATTATAGTTAAATAGTTAAATATATATATAATAATAAATATCTGTTAAATTTATTTTTAATACATGCGAAGCGCCTTACGGCTGATTTTTTTTGAAATACCCTTGAACCCTCTATTTTTTCATTGCCGGCTCCTTCTCAACGTTATTCCATAATCATTTATACCTTCATGATGCTAAAGAGATCCTCCAAACCCTGGAATGAAAAGATATTAATTAGTAGTTGTATTTTCATTAAGTATTTGTTTAACAGAATCAACTAAATGTTCACGAAAAGAATCTAAAACTAAAAGTGATCTGGGGATTAATAACAAATCATTGGTTCTCTTGGACCAAATATTTTCGACCCACCATACCATTTCATTCTCATTGATCCACTCCTTTTCATTTGTTCTTATAAATATACCATCAGGAAATGTTTCTCAATATACATTTTTTAATTTGAAAATAATAACAGGTGGTAATTTAAATCCATCTAACATACAACCTAAAATAACTGTAAAATTACTTTTTCATATCCTGTAGTTTTAATGTTAATAGTACTTGAACTATGTTTTTCCAAAGTATATGAACTTAGTAAATCAAAAGTTACAGGAGCTTCATCCATATTTCCAATACATTTAAATGGATAATCATGTTGTATCCTTCTATCTCTAGCAAATTTTCTGACAAATGTTGTGATACTGTTATTCTCCAACAATTTGAAAGATCATAATGAATCATAAAATAATCCATCCATTTATTTGAGAATTTAAAGAAAGAAATGTTTTGATATTTCTCTTGATATTCATTAGTTTGTGCAAATTCTTTGGCTAGTAATTAGTAAACTTTATGCCTTATAATCTTATAATCCATTTTGCTAGCTCTTGTTCTAAATCTGGAAAATATGGACTTCTACCATTAATAAATGTGATGCTGATGTCTTGAGCTGATCTCTTTTACTTCTCTAATCACAAACTTGACTTTATTCTATATTAAAATGTTTTGCAGTTGCATGAACATTATTTGAACAGTCTAAAAAATGTAAAACCATTAATTTTTATGAATACACTATTGTCATTTTTTTTAAAGTGATTCTAGAATGTTTAGGTCTTTTGTTTTCTTTGACAACTATTTTAAATGTAATATCGTGAAATGAAACATGAAAGTGAACATAAAATTAACGTGAAATGCAATGTAAAATTTTATATTAAGTCATATGATCTACATATTGTATCTAAGAATGGATATTAATGGTTAATTAGCCAAATTTTAATTAATCATGAATTTATCATTCTGATTAAACAACCCTCTTGTATTAAACTACTTATCTGATTAAACTACTCAGATAGTTTGCAAATTTAGGGGTAGATTTGTAAAAAACCCAGGATAGTTTAGTCAGTACTCTATGATACTCTGATTTTTCTTTATCAAATAGTATTATATTAAAATATCTAATAATGTATAATATTATTTACAATACTTAAAATTCTTTTTTAGAGAAAACGTAACAAATTGGATATAACAAAACTAATTAACTATATAATTCAATTATATAATAATTATTTTTCTTTTATTTCTTAAATAAAAAATGACAATTAACCTGATTATATATCCTTTTTTATAAATGATATCTGAATATTTGCTTCATTTATGAATAATTATATTATTCATTATGAAAATATATCAACTTACTTGCTTATTCTAGTTTATTCTTTATATTATAAGTATCTAAATCAAATAAAGTAATTCCTAACTATTCTTTTAATATACTTATTTTTTTTATATGCTATTAGGATCTGATCATAAAATTCTTCAGATAATTGTAAATACAAATAGAATATCCATTTTTATCGATTTGAAAAAATAAAACATATTTTTAGGTTTGGAATAAAGAAAGAATTAAGTAAATTTACATTAAATTCTATTTTGTTATATACTAATTATATAAATCATTATCTTGATTTTTGTAAATTTATTATAAAAAGTTGAAAAAATAAATTAAATATGGATTTTCTGATGTCATAATTTGGTTAAATTAGATTTAAGATAATATAATAACTAAATTATTTTTGGATTTATTAATCAGGAATGTATAATGTATATTGTATTACAAGAATCATTCAGAAATAGAGCTCCGAACAGGTCAGATCGGATCAGGTAATTAACTTGACCTGACCTGATAAGGTCAGGTCAGGTCAGACATAAAATTAACCTGAATTAAATATACATTTGATCTGACCTGACCTGACTAAAAAAGGAAACTAAACAATTATTAATTTTGTTTAATATTTTTTTAAAAAAAATATAAAAAAATATTGATACATTTTTACATTT